CTCCCATGCTACACATGGTGTGTGGGATGAGAAGGTTGTCTACTGGTTTAGTGGGGTCCTTTCATACCTAATGCTTGTTTCTTTTATTCTTTTTATTATTTAGTAACTATTTGGCCAAAGGCGTACTGTAAACTGGAATTTTAATTGTAAGTTTTGTTTTTTTAAACGGATGATCAGATGTATCTGATCTGAAATTCTCAATAGATGCTCCCTGGTTTGGTGTATAGACTCTAGTATTATATTTGCCCGGCTGCATTTTATTATACATTTTTACTCTTTTCAACCCAGTGACCAAAGTAAAGAATAAATACATTTAAAATGGAAAAGATCTACACTTCATAAACAGCTAATTTATCATCTCTCTTCAATAGCTTGTGTAAGTAGAGGACAGGAGAGTCTTTATGAAACACATTTTCCTATTATTGCAAGGTGTTCATTATAAGTATGTGCACATCTCTATAAGATTGCATACGATATAGATGTTAGAATGGGCCCACATTGTGATTGCTTTCTGGGGTGCCATAATAATATGAAATATATATATATATATATATATATATATATATATATATATATATATAGTGTTCAAGTAGAGATTGTAGCCGTATTAGTCCAGTGATGTAGATGTAAAAAACAGATAAAATTCTTATCTTGTAATACCTTTTTTATTGGACTAACAGAATTTTTTAATGACAAGTTTTCGGGAGAACCTCCCTTTCTCAAGTCTGAAGCATTTCTGAGCAAGTCAACACATAGAATTCAAAGTTGAGTTGTGATACAGGGGTTAAAGCGACATGAGTATAGATAAGACACAGGTTTGTTAGAAAATAGACACCATTTTTGCAGAGGGTCATAAATATCTTTCTGAAGAGCAGAATGAGGGGGGAGAGAAGTAGAAGAAAAACAAACAAGCAGACAGTGCAGAGGATGGTACACTTTATACATGCACACACACATAAATATGTATATGTGAACGCACAAACACATGTACATATACATATACATAAACACATATACATACATACACATGAACTCATATACACAAATATAAATGCACAGTAATATGTATAAGCATACATGCATATGAGTATGGGAAAGCATAAGACCAA